GCACGCACGCACGCACGCACGCACGCACGCACGCACGCACGCACGCACGCACGCACGCACGCACGCACGCACGCACACGCGCACACGCGCACACGCACACACGCACAGACGCACACGCGCACGCACGCACGCGCAAACACACACTCACGCATCCACACACACGCGCACGCGCGCACGCACACACGCACACACGCGCACACGCGCACACGCACACACGCACACTCGCACACACGCACACACGCGCGCACGCGCACACGCGCGCACACACCACACGCGCACACGCGCGCACACGTGCGCACACACCACACGCGCACACACGCGCGCACACGCCCACACGCCCACACGCTCACACGCACACTCGCGCACACGCACACACGCACACACGCCCAGACGCCCACACGCCCGCACGCCCACAAGCGCACACGCGCACACGTGCACACGCGCACACGCGCACGCGCACGCGCACCCACACACACACACACACCCACGCACACGCACACGCGCACGCACACGCACACGCACACACACACACAGACACACACACACACAGACACACACGTGCACACGCGCACACGCTCACACGCACACACTCACACGCCGCACACGCGCACGCACGCACACACGCACACACGCACACACGCACACACGCACACACGCACACGCGCACGCACGCACACACGAGTACACGCACACACACACACACACACACACACACACACACACACACACGCGCACACGCCACATGCACACACGCGCGCACGCGCACACGCGCACACGTTCACACACACGCACACACGCACACACACACACACACACACACACACACACACACACACACACACACACGCGCGCGCGCGCGCGCGCACACGCCCACACGCACACACACACACACACACACACACACACACACACACACACACACACACACACACACACACACACGCACACACGCGCACACGCCCACACGCACACATGCACAGACGCCCCCACGCCCACACCCGCACACGCGCACGCGCGCACACGCGCACACGCGCGAACGCGCACGCGCACACATACACACACACACACACACCCACGCACACGCACACGCGCACGCACACGCACACGCACACACACACACACAGACAGACACACACTCACACACAGAGACACACACACACACACGCACAGAGAGCCACACACACACACACACACACAGACCCCCGGTTTTTCTTGTGGCTTCATTTGAAAGGCCAAAGGGCATTGCCAGCCTTATTGAACGAATGACCAGTAAATCCATTTACAAAAGCTAAGAACTGTGTAAAATGCGCAAAAACTTTCGTGTCACTGTACGACAAAACAGCCTGAAGTCTGGCCCTGGTTCCAAAAGGGGCTTCAAGTTCATATAATATGCAGTTACATGTCGTTTACTTGAATCACGTACATTAAGCACAAAACCGGTTTTGCAATTTAACAGATCTAGGTCCCCCAGTACTGCCCTTTTACCCTTTTCTGGGGGGAGGGTCCCCCTACTAAAATAACCTACTGAATCAAGTTGGTTCTTAGTCGCAACAACGTACTGAGCGCAGATCGTGGGTGGTCTCTTCGATGTGGTGGCCATCCAGTCCACGGCCCGGGCATTCGCTGCCCTGCGTGCTGACGGTTTTGTGGTCACCTGGGGCGATGTTGACTCGGGGGGCGACAGCCGAAGCGTCCAGGCGCCATGGCCGCCGTTGGGGGGTCGGTCGAACAGGGCTCCCTGAGTTTCCTTTTTTGGACCCACCAGAAAACTGCGTTTGTGGAAGGGGGAATTCCAGTGAAACGCGTTTAACTATCTACTTTCACCGCGATTTTTGGTTGTAGAAAGGGCACGAGGTACAGTCACCAAATCGAACTTTACTAGGACATGGTGTTGACCCAAATCAATTACCCTGGCTGAAATTGCAATCTTCGGATCAATTGGACAATCCCCTAGGAGCAGTTGACCAACGTGCAGCACCTCCAGTCCTCAGTCGGGGCTTTTGCGGCCATTCGCAGCGACGGGGCTGTAGTCACCTGGGGCAGCGCGGACGCGGGGGGCGACAGCAGCGCAGTCCAGGAAGCTCTCACGCGCCCAAATCTCCGACCTGGGTTGATCAGTAATGAGCACCCCCTATCAAGGAAACCCCTGTTTATTAATATGGGGTGTCCCTGGTTTTAGTGGGAATTGTTCACTTTTGGAGGCCTATGAATAAACTGGGGTTGATTAATAGGGGGTCAACATTATTCCTGACCCGCAAGATTATACAGCTGGGGTTAAGTTTTTAGTCTTGCGTCCATATATACAAGCATGGGTGTTCACCGTGCCTTTGAGTGGGAAAGTCATCTTGTTGGTGGTTTTGCCTCCTCCCATGGAGACTTTCTGATCAACCCCAAATCAGGCACCCTCAAACAAAGACACGCCTTTCTGGGTCTAAACATCCATCATCCGCTGGTGGACAAGCCGACCTATCATAGTCCATGGGTCGGTGCTAAGCGCCGTTTGGCCCACGCCAACTTTTCATCCAAATTCAGAATTCGCACAAGGCGTTGAAGCCTGTTGTTTCTTTCTTCTTTTTTGGGGGAGCAACGTGTATTTCGGCTTTGGCTTCCCACAAACCTGGTACCTGGAGTCTCCATCACCCTGAAAAAATGGTTTCATTGCCCAAGATTTAAAGGGGTCATGGACCCATTTTTTGAGGGTCATGGGAGACTCCAGGCTGGATCCCCAGCCCTGATGTTCCAGCTACTTTTGCCAACTTGTGGGCTAGTGCCTCAGGTGCCTGGAAAAACAGTGGCTACTTGGAACCTCCAGGTCCCCTCAAAGCACGTACCCGGCAACCCACCCGCCGAACTTCAGCCGCGGCCGAACCGAACCCACGCCCCATGAGAGCCACAATCCAAACCCGGGTGGATGAAGATTTGTAAGGGACAATCTCACCCAGTAGCTGCCGCCTTCTGAATTCTTTACTTGGCTCTGGGATTACGAGCATTTTTCTATCGGGCTTGGAATGTGACTCCTATGAGTGAACAATCCCCCACTAAAATAGGTTCACCTACCCCGGGCGTGGAATTTGAGTCCTGAGGAGCAGCTGGTGGGGGTCCAGGCGCTCCAGTCCAGCGCCCGGGGCTCCTTCGCGGCCTTCGCCGCGCTCCGGGACGATGGCCGCGTGGTCACCTGGGGCGACCCGGGGTCCGGGGGCGACTCCAGCAGCGTCCAGGCAGCGTCCGGGGGCCGAAAGCTCTGGCACATGGCCAGCGTGGGGTTTTCGGTGAATTCCACCCCCCAGTTTTTAGGAGCCATTTTAGCGGAAATCGGGATGTTCACCGGGGGTACGATTTGGATTTTGACCCATGGCCACATGGCAGGGCTGTTGGGACCTTTGAGAAGTGAAGCCGTTGGAAGCCCTTGTTTTTTTGGCAGGATGAAGTTTTTTTTCCACTCCCCAGCAATAAGTTTCACACTTTGTAGGGAAAGACTAACTCAGGAGAAGCTGAAGCGAGTGACCGCCATCCAGTCCTCCAAAGGACGGGCAGTCTTGATTTGTGTTGCCTTTTGTGGCCCCTCCCGCAGATTAACACGGAACCCAAGATAAACATCCGTGTGTACATGGGTTCTCTTTTTTGGGACCCGTCTTTGGCGTTTTTGGGTTCCTGATCAATTTGCAGCAGAGTGGAGCTGCGCCCCGAACAGTGTGGAACGTTCTTTCAAGGTACATTCCCATAGAAGCCAGGCAGAATGCTGGACAGAAGGGCTACGGAAGACAAGCACCGTGCGCAGATCCCACTTTCCTTCTTTGATTCTAGGAAAGGAGGTCCCAATGCTTTCAATGTCTTGTTGGGCCCCCCCAAGCAACACAAGATGTGTGTTTTCCTTTTGCCGTTCCCTTAAAGCCGCCGAAAAACCACGGGATCCTCTCAAACATTGGTGGCTCCCAGCCATCCCCTTTAGCCTTTTACCCTTTTTAGTGTTTGGTGGTGGTTTCCTTTTAACCCACCAACAGTTCAACTTTTAGCAGGGGATCTGGGGGCAGCCCAGAAAAAGCGCGGCGGCGATCTGCCTCCAAGGAGCCTTCGCCGCCATTTGCGAGGATGGCACGGTGGTCACCTGGGGGGACGCCTTGTCGGGCGGCGACAGCAGCCATGTGCAGGGCCTGTTGTACCAGGCAGGGAACAACGGGCCAACCCGCTTCTTAAAACGCCGGTTGAACTGGGGTCAACGTTCGGCAGCATCTTATATATTTATGTTCTTCCAAGATGATGATGGTAGAAAAGGCAAAGCCATCCGTTTCGTTCGGGGTGGGTGATTTGGAACGAACGGCCTTGTTTTGGTTCGATTCGTTTGAGATTCGCCGAGGGCTGTCACCCCCCCCAAGCCCCACATTGGAAGATCCCCATATGCCACGTGGATCTTTGGCTTTCCTCGTGCCATTGCAGATGTGTTGCGATTTCGGGTCAGCTCATGTTCACCAACCCAAGCATCGCATGATGGAATCCACACCCAGCCATTTGGCTGTGGATCAAAAAAAGGTACCACAATGGCACCTTGGTAAATGTAACCAAAGACTAAAACCTGCGTAACCCCAGCTTTTGAATTTTGAGCCACACCCATTTGAAGCTCCTTTTGGTTGGGCCCAGGTGGTTTGTGGCTCTTTTTTGGACGCGCTCGTTTCCAGGTCACCTGCATCCAGAGCTCCAACCAGGCCTTCGCGGCTCTCCGCTCGGACGGCCAGGTGCCATTTGTTTTTTTGTGGGCTGTGTGTGTGTGTCTTCGCTTTATCGGCTAAACGTACCCATGGGGCTGGTTTTTTTGGTGGACTGAAAAGGAAAGCGCCCTTCTTGTGTTGTTTCCTCTTGCTTTTTTGTTTTGTTTTTTGTTTTTTCTTGGGGGGTGCCTTTCTTTCAGAAGTGCCGGCCATAGGGCCTACGTTACTTGAAGCCCCGCAAAAGAGACATATGTTGCATGCTGCAACACTTCTTGCGGTCGATCCGGAACCGCGCTCCCTTGACTTCTGTAGGAAGACCAATAAAACGAACAAACAACAAGACAAACAACCTGATAGAAGCCAGGAACCCGAATGAAGATTAAAGTGTCCAAAGCCACCGGTGTGTGTTTGTGTGTCCCTGCGTATCACATTTCCCTGCTTGTCGACCTATTGGCTTTTCTGTTTATCCTTGTGCCTGGTTGTCGATCCATACATCTATTTGTGCATCTCCTATGTATCGATTTATCTCCCTGCCCGCCTGCCTACTCGATCTATCTATTTATCTATCTATCTGCCTATCTATCTATCTATCTATCTATTTATCTATCTATCTATCTATTTGTCTGTCTGCCTATCTATTTGTCTGTTGTTGACCACGATTGGGAGCAAACAAAAAAAGAAGCACGTTGATCTTGCAAATGAGGTTCATAATGCTGACAACAACGATCATGAGCCAATGATATCAATACAATGATGACGACGACGATGACGATGATGACCTTGACGATGACGATGACGATGACGATGACGATGACGATGATGATGATGATGATGATGATGATGATGATGATGATGATGATGATGATGATGATGATGATGATGATGATGATGATGATGATACGATGACGATGACGATGACGATGACGATGACGATCATGACGATCATGACGATCATGACGATCATGACGATGACGATGACGATGATGATGATGATTATTATTATTACTATTATTATTATGATGATGATGCTGAGAAGGTACCAGTGGCTCATTCTAGATTTGACGATGGTCACAATAGTAATGATCATCGCAATGTTTGATAGTGGTTGTGACAATGGCACTGATTAACTTACGAAATTATGATAGTTAAGAGAAACATTTTGACATTAATTGTCAATGGCGCTAGAAACGACAACAGGCTGAGGCACAGCTGTTTAAAACGCCAGCCGGACAACTCCTGTCTCCAGGCTCAGCCCATTGAGCTTCTGCTCGCGCAAGCCAAGCGCCCAAAACGGAGTGGATGTAAACCGAGGGGCGCAACAACAAACATGAATGTCTGTGTCTCAGCATAGAAACCCATCGCACCCTCCCGACTCCAGGTATAACAACTCATAACTTGTCAGTCCACTGGACTGAGTGGTAATGAAAGACCGTGAGCCCCATGGCAGCACGGACAAAACAGAAGCGTGACCAAAGATGTAGACATCAAGCACACAAGACACCTGACGCGTCGCTCATTTCCTTGAAGCTGTCAACCCTAAACTGTCGAGCCAACGGAGTTTCTTTCAAAATGTGCCTCCCACTCAGCGCTCGCTCGCGGCTTTGCCTGGCCAGGCTTAGCTCCCTTGTATGATTTTGCCTTTTGGTTTTCCTTCATTTTACTTTTCAACTAGCGAACAGTTCAAACTTGTTTGCAGCGGTCTAAGTCTGGTCAAGCCGATGTTCAACCCCCAAAAGCGGGCCAAAGTGCGCTGCGGCCGCAGGTGGTGTGGTGGGGCAAGGCTCCTGGCGCCGACCAAAACACGCCGCCGCTGGCGGCCAGCGGCGTGCGGGCGGTGGCCAGCGCTGCGCGCGCCTTCGCGGCGATCAAAGTCGACGGCTCAGTGGTGGCCTGGGGCGACCGCCTGGCGGGGGGCGACGTCTCGCAGGTGAAGGCGGGCGCTGAGAACTGGTGGGGCGAGACCCAAGTTGAATCTTTGAAGGTTTTGCGCGGCCCCAGATGAACCACCCAAAAGGGGGTACCAACTACCAGAAAAGATGACACACCCACTGTGACAATCACCCCAAAGTTTTGGGAAAGCAATGGCTTTGGAAAACTAAATAGTTTTGGCGATCGACCTTGTGCTCGGCGCTTGACGTCTTCAACCCAACGCCTTAAGTTTGCCTCTGGGTGGAAATCATCAGTAACGCTCAATGGACGGTTTCGGGCCCGGGAATGGGGCCAGAAACAAACCTGATTCTCTTTTTGGATGAAACGACACTTGTGCCATTTGGTGGCTCCACAAAATCGTGGATCGCAAAATGGGTGGTTTGCTTCTCTTGGCCCAGGGGTCCAACCTTTGGATATTTGTTTAATCCACCTGGCAATGTTGAGTTTGGATTAATCCGGAGGACCCTAGTCTACCCCCCAAAAAGACATAGACATAACAAAAACATGTCCTTCCCTGAGCTCATTCGTACTGTCCTCCGGATTAATCCTAAGGCTTTGGAAGCATCCTGGAACTGAATCCAGCACTTGGGATGGAAACCCGATGTGAATGGGCAAATAACTTCAATCCCATTTGGTGCGTTTTGTGGATCGGCCAAAGTCCAGCACTTGGCATGGATGAACGTTGATTTGATGACTGGGAAAACAACTTCAATGCTCAGTTGAGTAGTGCCCTTCTCTACCCTTTTTTGGATGGGAGGGTTCCCCTACTAAAATAGACGTCCCGGAAAAAGGAAAACATCGGGTACCAACTTATTCTATCCTCTCAAATCTGGACCTAGGAACCATCCCCAAAAGTGGGTGTTATCTTAAGAAGCCATTTAGGTATGAAGCTAGGGAGCCACAAGGAAGCCACAAGGAAGCCACATGGGATGGACGCGAAATCCATGGCAGCACCACTTTGAAACCACTTTGGAAAAATCATTGTTGGTATGTACAGGGTAATCATCCGAGCGCAGGGTTTCTTAGGTGCGGGGATTTCGTTCTTCTAGGGGTTGATTCCCCATGGTTTCCTGAAAAGAAGGATCCCTGGAAAGACTGGGGTTGTGGGGATGGCCACCTGGACTCGGATGGTACCGATTCCTCTGAGCCGCTCACGCCGTGAGTTCGGGGAGAACCGGAGGAGCAGCTGCAGCAGGTGGAGGCGCTGAGCGCGTCGCGGCTGGCCTTTACGGCGCTCAGGAAGGACGGCCAGGTGGTGAGCTGGGGCGACCCTTTGCACGGGGGCAAGGCCCCGGACCATTTGCACCAGGCGGGAGGGGGGGGGGCACGGTCGCGAATGTAGGGTAAGACACCGTTTGTAGCCGTGTAGTCTAAAACAGCGCGCGGCCGGATGAAGGCTCACGAAGGTACTGGCAGTATGGCTTGTTTTTTAGGACAGCATACTGTATTCAAAGGGTGTGAGCTTACACGTGAAAGCCTGACAGCATCGCCGCAAGACATCGATTTGGGACCAACGTCACCGATGCACCCGTAAAACCGACAGGGAAACACAAAAAACAGCAACATGATTCAGACTTCTCCAAGCATATTGTTTGTTGCGCACATTCGTGGGTATGTGCCAGATTGACAAAAGTCGGGCGCCTTTTTGGATCCGTGGTGACCGTCAAAAAGGTACACACCGATTTTGAGGGTTCACCTTGCAGACAAACACCTCTTCCCCTCGGATAGGAAACATCAGGTGTCATTTTTGTTTGCGGTTTAATGAGGTGTCCTGTTGGCACATGGATCTTGGCTCTCGCAGGTGAGACGTGTCGTGGCTTCCCAGAGCGCGTTTGCGGCTGTGTGCGGCGATGGCAGAGTGGCCACCTGGGGTCATGAGGACTTCGGGGGTGACAGCTCCGCCGTAGATCACCAGCTCGCACCCGTTTGGCAGATCCTGGGATGAAAATGGTGAAACTGCTGTATCAGATCCGCCATTTTTCGATACACAAGTTTAAGCCTGAGGCTTGTCCAGGCACATAGGCACATAGGCACCTAGTTCGCATGGACTCCCAAGGAGTGTCTCGAAGGCCTGCGTCAGAGTGTCTCACGCCCTTTGGCGGCTCGGCTCGCATGATATGCGTGGAGCCAGTGGCAGCGAGGCAGTGAGGGCCAAAGCCGAGAGTTTGTGTCGCTCGAGGCTTTACCTCTAAGAGCGTGGTTGTGTGTTGAAGGATTTTAGGGTGTTGTCAGTATGTTAGAGAGGAAGCTTGTCCGAAGTAAGCTTCCAAGAATGCAAAGCCGCAGGTGAGCAGCGTTTTGATCAAAGCATGTTCAAGCAAACGGGGCATTCCTTCAGCACCGGGCTTCAAAGGTGGTAGCTCGCATTGAAACATGACAGAAAGGCACGGGTTTCTGCTATGTTCACGGACTGGATGAAACGATGGATGCCCAGAGCAGCATCACATAGCTGTAGAGCACACGGTGCTCCATACACGGTCACCTTCAAAAAATCACACCACGATGGCGTTTGTTCAGGCTTACCCAGATCATACCCAAAGGTGGCTGAAAGTGGTTGGACATCCCCAAAGAATGAACAGTTCTAACACCCTCCCCATTCTCTTCAGAGATCCTTCTCCAAAAACGGGCCAAACACCTGGAAAAGAGGTGGTGAAAGAAGGCCATTGAAGAGAATGGAATTGGAATCAAGCCTTAGAAAAGTGCGGAAGCTGATCTCGTTCGCCCAAACGGCGTCCAAACGGGAACGGCCTGTTCGCCAGGCCTCCACCAGGCGCTTCGGGGTCCGGGGGATTTGGTTCCGTTCGGGGGTGCAATATTCCATGTCGACCCTGGGTATATAATATATATATATATATATTGTATTGTGGCCGAGAGAGCTAAAAACTATGGAGAACACGGTGTTTTTTGCAGTCATTCTATGAAGACAGAAGGAAAGGTAGTTCATGGGGGGCAGCCTGACCATATTTGTCTTTTGCCGGGACAGATCGAAGAATACCTGTTTGTGGGTTTTGCTCCCATGGTCATCCCATGCGAAGGACTTGTTGATCAACCCTCAGATCCTCACGCTTACCAGCTGTGTACCCCTCCTAGTATGGCAAATGACGTGTCGCAGGAAGTTGATCCTTCAGGTACCCTCTTGGCTGAGGTGTTTTTGAGGAAGTGTACCTCATGTACTCGTATGGTATGTGTCATTCTTGGACTGCATTGTTTACTTTCTCAACTTCCTTCGCTAGCTGAATTGGATGTGATTTGAGAGATCATGGAAACCATAGGGAGATGAAATTACTGGTGCCCATGATTTCATCAATGAGCTCTTGTAGTCGTCATGATGCTTGGGTTGATAGCCACATGACTGGAGCCGCTGGTGGCTCCATGGCAAATCGTCTGAATATTGCAGATGACCAGGATGGGACTCGGAGAGATCAGGGAACCGAAAGGGAACGGATCCCCCCCCCATTTTGAGTCGTGGATTTTTCCACAGATTGCAATGGCACAAGGCTTTGGCGCAGGCGGGTTCGTGGTCAAACATAGGCATCAAGATATGGTCTGCCAAATGCTCTTGATAGGACCATCCCTGAGCAGGTCGCTATTTGAACACACCACACAAACAAACAAGGTATTCAACAGATATTCGCTTGCCATGGCCCGTAAGCGGGACCCTCTCTGGCGCGACTGGGCGGTATGGGCCGCCCGGCTGGCAAAAAGCGGGCTGTGTCCTTTTGGGGCATCCGTTGGCTTTTCGCACCAGGAATCAGGCTGCAGGTCTTCCGAAGGGCTTATCCCGAGCTTTTCCCTGGACCCCACAGATGCAGGCAACAACCCACTTTGTGACAAGCAAAATACGGCAGAGTGAGTAGCCAAATCAGCAAACGTTCGCGTACTTGCGGGGCTTAACTCCGTGGCATTCCTTTGGTCACTGGGAAGCACTGCGACTACTTGTGAAGGTTCCGTTCTTGCGATTCCGTTTCAGGTTGGTGAATGTCTACTGGTTTCCTGGCTGAGACATGGAACTGGCCACAAGGGATGCCGCCCACGACGTTCTCAGGGCACATAGTTTTCATGGTCCCCGTCCTGGACAGACAGCTTGACGCGAGCTTCGAACCTCTTCGCCCATTTGGGCCCTCTTGCGAGAATTTTAGCGTCACGGCCCGAGGGATTCACGCTTTTGGGGCGGTCATCATGTTTTCCGCATAGTGGCCAACTCCCGGTGTCAAGCAAGAGTCAGCCTCTGCGCTTTCTCTCCAGAAAGAGCCAATGTTTTTCCCAATTTTTCCCTTGTCTGGTTTCAAATTCAAAGACTTGGGACTTTGCCCCCCCCCCCCCCCCCCCACCCCCCCAAAGAAAAAGCGGCTGCACGAAGATCCGGTTGCAAAACACAGCTGTCGGAGGCTCCCTTGCTGGCTGCTCTGGCACAGCTCCTGCTAGGGGGAGCCAGCCGAGAGGAGCGCAGTGGTCTCAAGGGGACCGCCTGGTGGTTTTCGGGTGCTGAAGCAGCCCGGAAAAGGCGGCCTCCGACTCAAGCACGCGGCAGTGCCGGCCGAGTCGACAGTGCTGGACCTACAGCAATCGTCTTTCTCATGGCCGTGCGAGCGGGAATCAGCAAGCAGCCTAGTTGCGTGTTGGCCCTGATCCTAAACAACCAGCATGCCAAAGAAACAGCTGCTTGCAATGCATCGCAACGCTGCATGCATGTTTAAGTGTTTGTCAGGTTATCAAAGTCAGAACATGGGGTTGTTTCCCTTTAACCCACATCACCACGCGGGTCACCTTGATCACGGCAGGTTTACTGCAATGGCGGATACCCTAAATGCATGGGAACCGCAATTCACCACGGTGTGTGGGTTGTCTTTTTTTGATGGTACCTGTTGTTGTGTTGTGGTTTAGAGAGAAACCAGCCGGAAGACGGTAGCGCCATTTGGCTGAGTGTCGGGTGTAGCGCCACCACGGCGCATCCGAAGGAGCTGGCGGGTGTGGGCTCCAGCCTCCAGGCTTTGCTCCAGGAGCTGCAGGAGGCGCGGCCGCGCCAGGAATGATTTTTCGAGCCCGGGAGATCGGCGTTCCGTTTGGTGTCCCTTTATGAAACAGTGGGCCTCCCCCCAAAAAAACAAAAAAACATGAAACAGTGGGCCTTCGCTCCCCCCAAAAAAGCAAAAACATCTAGCATTTCGAAAGATCAATCAAGTGGGGAAGCCCATCCATTTGTGACTCTTTTTTTCCCCCATGAAAGCCATCGTCGGGGGAATCCGAACCTGGTGATCCGAAGGTTTCGCTCGGCTCTCACTCGGCGAGGTGCGGCGGGAGCTGAGCCTCAGAAAGCCGCGGCACGCCTTTCCCGAGGCCCGGGGATCGAGTTGAGGGAGCTGAAGCTGAGGGCGAGTGCTATTCTGGATTCCCCAGTAGTTTCCTGCACCCTGTTTTGGGGGAGGGGCTCCTCTACTAAAACAGACTACAGAAAGACGGGTACCCTTATTCTAACCTCTCTACTGGAGGACCTAGTATTTACACGGAGCTTTGTCACATGTTATACATTTTCACATGGGAAAGTATCCCAGGCAACAAGCGGAGAGAGCTCTTTTTTGGGGGATTTTAACAGATGCTCATTTTCGGGTTGAACTGTAGCCCAGGCAAAACGTTTGAAGCACTTTTTGGGAGGATGGAGCGGTCCGGTAGTGGTTGATGTCCTTTTGGTTTCCCTGCCATCCAAAGGGGGGACCACTCTGAGAAACATGTGGCCGCAACGTGGCCTTTCGAAAAGCAGCCATCAAGAGGCTATCACGTACTGGAGCTGCAGCCAGTGCACGCCAACACCACCGCCACCGCCTTCTTTTGCAATCCGTGCCATTTGGATCAGGGGGACAGCGCTTCCCAATCGCTGTGTAGACACCGAGCGTCAAGCGCACAAGTGCGGGTACCGGTCAACTCCTAGCCCCAACCTTAAAGAGGGGAACCCTTCCGCTTGGGGAAAAACAAAACCTCAAGTGAGTAGCTGGCATGGTACTGCCGACAAACTCCTGGATGAAGCTAAGGGAGAACCAATGAACCACTCCCAACTAGCTGGCGCGTGCAAAGTCGGTTTTGTCCATCGGGCAGGTGTTTAACACACCCCTACATGTGTCAAAATGGGCGCACTCTAAGAGATGTCGGGTTTCCTGTGGATTCCTTCCCCTTCTAGGCCCTCCAGTAGTGCCCTTTCTCACACCGTTTTGGGTTGGAAGGGTTCCCCCACCAAAATAGACTATCGCAAAACAATTGGGTACCATTATTCTAACCTCTCTACTGGAGGACCTAGGCTATTGGAGGTACTGTGGATGGCCGAAATCCATCGCAGCACCACTTGAAAAGCATGACAAAAAGCCATAGCTTGTTGGTATTTACAGGGGAATCATCATCTACTGGGATTCCTTCCCCTAGCCGACCTTTAAAAGAGAGCACCTCGTGCAGGGTCGACCCCTTGGACTTCTTGGCCAGGAGTCCGAAGAGGCCGAAGACGAGGTTGCCGAGGCGGGTGCTGTCTTGCCTGCGGCTTTCCTTGAAACAAACAGGGGTCCCTGAATTTGAGGGACAAGCATACGAGCTGAAGGATGGGTGTGCCCTAATTTTTGGAACAAGTTTTGGTTGGGTCGGGGTGCTTGGAAAGGAAACTCCAAAGTTAGACCAACAACCTCCACCCCACCCCACCCCACCCCACCCCACCCCACCCCACCGGGCCAGGTTGAGACGGAGCCCGACGCCGTGCCGACTCCGCCCGCACCGGCGCCGCACTGGCCGGCCATCCGGCCGCCTCCGCTGAACACCGACTCAGGCGGGGCATGTGGTGGCCATGGGCTTGGCAAGGCTCCAACTGGGAGGTTTGGCGGCGAAAAATGTGGGTTCCAGGCCTGTGGCTTGGGGTTGAAGGTTGGCTTTGTCTCAAAATGAGGGACCCCCAAAATGGGCGGTGTCCTTGTGGTTTCCAAGTGAAACCAAGTGTGGTACACGCAAATGAGTAGAGAGGCGAGGTGACCCAATTTCCGCATCTCAGCCTTGTTTGTCAATTCTTCGATCCCTCGGGCCACTTTGGAGCCGTGGCCAACACTCAGTTCCCCAAGTCCGCGGGCCCTTACACCCCAACCTACCAGAGGGTCCCGACATGGTCCAGGAAAAGTATGTTCAAGTCGCAGAATTTCCGTGGAACCTCAAACCCCATCAAACTTGAGCGATCTTCTTAGGCCCTTTGCGGTTGCAGGGCTCAGCTTAGGCAGAGACGTGATCTCCACAGACTGCTTCGACGTGTTCTCCACGGGCCTGTCGTTGGAGTGCCCTGGCATGCGCCTGGGCCTCAGGCTGGTGCCATAGGCCGCAAAGGCTCGCCCAGCGAGCCGAACAACTCAGCCCTTGAGCTCCTGGATTTGTTGGGTTGCCAGAGTGGCGAACACAAAGGTCTTTCCACTGAAGCGAGGGTAAAGGACCCGCAGAGGGTCCTTGCACATGGTGGGAATTGAATCAGTGAGCCCGTGTGGAAGTTTTGGGCATGGGAATCCCATATTTTGGTGTCGCTGACTTTATTTTTGAACAGCCTTGCACTTGGGGCAAGGAATTTATATACCCGCCCCACCGACTGACATGGAAGTGCACAGACCCCTGTAGGGGGGCTTGGTGCACTTCCATCGTTGGGGCCCATCAAATGACCCCAAGAAAATCCCCGGGAATTTCGGCTGCGCCGAATCGCCGCGAGCTGAATAACCATCCCCTGTAGAGGGTTTCCAATTTTGGTAAAGCAGGCCCTCGGTTACCATCCAGGGATGGTCGGTGACCATCCAGGGATGGTCATCCACCTGGTATGGATCTAGGACGGTGACTGTTTTGGCCTCGAGTTTGGCGCCAAAATCTCAAATTTTATTACAAAGAAAAACGCGACCATAGCCTTTGGATACCACCCTACCTGGGTTCCTAATTTTGACAAACACCCAGTTGCATTGCTAGGGGTTTGGGTTGGAGAGATGAGCAAAGGACACTCGCCATCGGCATTGCCCACGAGCTGTTCTGCTGGAAAAGTGAGAGGTGCTTTTTGTGAAGAAGATGGAACTCAACACATCGTCGAGGTGCGCAAACTTTAGCAACCTCACCAGGTTTGTGACCTCACCCATGGTGGACCCTGGATCTGGCTTTGGGCGACACTTTGCGAATCGAATGGATGCACCACATAGCCATTATACACATCTGTATGCGAAGTGTCACCAACAAGTGCACTGAATTCGCCAGCTTTGGCAATTCAAACAACCTCAAAATACCCTTAAACCCAGACATCTGGGTTTTTGCCCCGGTCAATCGGTTTTGAGGGTCCGCAGCCGGTTGCCCAGTGGGGGGGGCCAGTTGGTTTCGCAAGGCCCACAGCACTGCACTTCGGGAGCCTCCGCGCCGGCGATCCGGGCCATGTGCCGCACGACTGAGGATTGATCCATATTCCCAGCCCAAATCTTCCCCAAAAGTAGTTCCTTTATTTTTTTTGTTTTTTTTGGCTTTTGTGGTGTCCCCTTTGTTTTCCACTGACCAGGCAACAAAAAATAGCTGGGGTCCTAGTTCCAGCCAAGAAATGAGCCACAAAAACGCGGGTAGACGAAGGTTAGTAACCCAGTTGCCCAGTGGGTTGCTTCCTTCTTTCAGCTTTTTTGGGGGAAGGGTGCCGATTCGTTTAAAGTCAACCAACCAGAAAAGGACGCCGATTCTTTTTTTCCCCTGGCCACTGGGTATCTGAGTATTGGCCCAAATGAGCCACAAAAACCCGGGTAGACGAAGGTTAAGGGAGAATTAATCCCAACCATCAATGGATAGACCGCATTTTTTGCTGCCAGGTGTTGATTACGACTCAAATGGTGTTGCTTTGCCACAAGCTTGTCTAAGTCCCATTAGTTGTATCCTCAAGCACACACACACACTCACCATGGTCTTTGGGGTTTGAAACACCTTTGGGAAAGGACAATTTAGAGTCAGCTACCTTGTGGGGTGTAGCCCCCTGTTGCCTGAAGCTCCTTGCAGTGTCGACCCTCAGATACGCACTGCCCTCGAGCGAGTTTGCAGCTGAGGAATTCCGGCAGATTTTGAGTCTTTGTACCGAACGGTTGCTGTGATTAAATGATTTTTGTTTGTATGTTCTGAGTGTTGTGCTGGCCGTGTCGTATTTAGGGAATCCTATGTTCCTACAATTTCCCTGCACTCTTGCTTGCGCTCAGTATTCACGTGTAGCGTGCTAGGATGCCAGTTTCGTCCAGTAGTTGAAGCCAAACACCGTTTTTGCATCATACCTCGTTGCATCACATTGCCACATAGCAAGCCGAAGCCAAACACAAGCCATCGTATTTGTTGCATGTCATTGCTTTGCCGGATGCTGTGAACAATAACAGTCCTGCTTCACAGGGTCGACATATATGTGATCTCTTTCAAACCCAACCATACGGTTCAGAATAGCTGCCCTTGGCTTGCGCCTGCGACAGATGATGCTCATTCTGTGCTTTCTCCGCTTCCAAGGATTCTTTTGAAGGGGATGTCCCTTTCAGGCACCAGGTCTGACCGCTTTGCTTGGGGTTCAAGTGCCCGGACTAAACCAAGACGGTTGACGCCATTGGCTGGGAAGCCTTTCACTGGCTCGGATTACACTTTTGAAACCGCGTGTTGTCAGCAAGCTGTTTGCTTTTGCCTCGATCGGCTGCATGATCAGTTCTTCTAGCCTCGATGCAGGTAGAAGCTGCGACTCGAGTTGGAGCTTGGATTTGACTGATTGATCGACCTGATATGATGTTGGTTTCTATATTTGACCTTGCTTGGTTGATCGGTCGATTCATTGACTAGTGGATTGAAATGGATTGGATTCGAATTGATGGATGGATCGGATCGGATCGGATCGGATCGGATCGGATCGGATCGGATCTGATCTGATCTGATCTGATCTGATGGATTGATTGATTGATTGATTGATTAATTGATTGATTGATTGATTGATTGATTGATTGATTGATTGATTGATTGATTGATTGACTGATTGACTGATTGACTGATTGACTGATTGACTGATTGACTGATTGACTGATTGACTGATTTGATTGATTGATTGATTGATTGATTGATTGCTTGCTTGCTTGCTTGCTTGCTTGCTTGCTTGCTTGATTGATTGATTGATTGAATTGAATTGAATTGAATTGAATTGAATTGATTGATTTGATTTGATTTGGATTTGATTTTGATTTGACTTGATTTCACTGGCTGGTTGGCTGGCCTGTTGGCTGGCCTGTTGGCTGGCCTGTTGGCTGGCCTGTTGGCTGGCTGGTTGGCCGGCTGGTTGGCTGGTTGGCTGGTTGGTTGGTTGACCAGCCACGTACGCGTCGTGCAACCAAGGCCCGCGAAGCTGCAACAGCACTTGCGAGGGCTGCAAAGATTTGGCCTTCACGACATTTCAGGAGTCCGACGGGTCCATGCGACTGGGCTCAACGTACTGGGAAATTCGGATGAATAAACCCCTGGCTTATTGATAGGGCGTGCCCCTGGTTTCGTGGGGAGTGATCACTATTGGAGGGGAACGCACCTCGATTTTCATCAACCGGCGGTCAGCATTGCATTACTTGGCATGTGTTGAGCTTTGGGGTCTTCGCGGGGGTTTGATTGCTTCAGGGATAGACATTTCACCTGGAGCTGAGACGATTCCCCTTGTTTGAGCCCCGTCAGATGTGCGGCAAGCTTTTACCGCCCCGATGGCTTGGTTCGAGAATGCTGTTGTGCAAGTGCCTCTTCTTCTTCTAGCGTTGAGTGGGACAGGTGCGAGATTTGTTTTAGGTTGTAGACTTTTTGCTGAATTGGTTTGCACCCAGAATTTGTCAAAGTCACTTCCAGTCATTGTTCATCAAGCAGAGTGTTGCCCGTCATTTAGTCCACAGCGCACTGAATTCGGTTGGCCAATGCCTCGTAGCAATTGCCATTTGCGCGTCTTCCAGTTGCATCGCTTGCTTCTTGGCTCCCTGCATGTAGCAGCCGGCTGGGATTCCGACAGCTTTGCGGTTTGAGCGCTTTGTCGTGGATTTACAGCGTTTCTTGGCCAAGGATCACAGTTGCCCAGTGGCAGCTTGTTTGGGGAGAACTGCCAGCCACTTTGCGGGTAACCAGGGTTCCTCACGCGTTCCTCTTTGAAACTCCAAGAGAAGTGTGTGTCTGTGTGCGTGACAATTGTGTGGAGCTCACCAGTCAATTGCACATGCAGAGGAAATCTAGTGACTTCAGTAAGGAAGGGCCGACCACGCCCTGTCGCAACGTTGCTTGGCGGGACGGATGTTGCCCAGGTCTAGCTGCCGACAGCTGCAGCCCAACTGCAAGGCAGTCCCGAGCTTGGCTTCTGTAAGATGTTGAAGTGGCGTTCCTTCTAAACAGGAGAAAATGTCGGGAAGCAGTCGTATCCCCACCCTGGAGTCAGGAGAGACACCCAACGAAAATGGCAGGTTTCTGAACACCAGGCAACGAAAAGGCAAGCGCAGAGGGTGGCTCGTCTTTTTTTGGGGGCCCCCAAATTTGCGGTTTTCCTTTTGGTGTCCCTCACAACCACCGAAAATGAGGCCCCTCAAAAAAGCAGCTAATATGTTAAACTGAGGAGCACAAGGGAAGTTCTGACACTGGAAGGCGAATCCTAGCATTTGGCTTGGAACACCGCAGGCTCAGCTTCTTTAGTTTGAGGTCTGATGCCAAGGTTCCAATGCACCCGACGACCTTTTGGCACGGTTGTTCGCAGATGTGTGAGGATTGGACGGTTATGAAGCTTTCAAGCGTAGCGCTGCACTCTTGCTAGGCCAGCATTTGTAATTTTACCGTTAAGCAGAGCCCTAAACAATGAAGTCATGGTTCACAGTTTCAAGGGCAAAGAGTCTCCAAAGAGTTTTGCATTCGGGCACTGTGGTTACACTCCATTGCCACACATGGTGCAGGAAGTGAACAATATTGTGCCAGTTTCTCGCTTGTTTGCAACACCTCACGAGTCCCCAGTTCCTGTGGGCCAAATGAGCGTGCGAATGGATTAGTCGTTGTTAGGTCTTCAACAATGAATCTGGAGCCGCTGAGCGTTACATCTCTCTCTCTATATATATATATACATATGTGTATATTGTATAATTACACGTGTATATATAATATATATGTATATATATACATATATATATATACATATATATATATATATATGTGTTCCCGTATTGCGACGGTGCAGCCAGGTGGCAAGCACCCAGGGACAACTTCTGAAAAAGTGATAGATCTGGAAAACCCGGAGTTCACCACCCCGGGAAAGCCAATAGGCAAGGTCGATGTATTTTCTTCCAACAGAGTCAAACGTTGCAGTTGAGACCATTTGCGGGGTTTCCCCTTTCTAGTGCGCAACACGTGAGCTGAGAAAAGCCATACTGTGGATGGACGAAATCCTGCACCACCTAAGAAACCCTGGGGGCGGATGATTGCCCTGCAAATACCAACAATGGTTTCCCGTGGTTTCTTAGATGGTGCGAAATGGATTTCGTCCATCCACAGTACTCCTGGAAAGCCAAGCTTCGCACTGGTCTTTTTCTCCGCGTGCTGGCGGGTCTTTCAGACCCAAGCCCGACAGGACCACGAGTCCGGGGAGCGCGTGCGCCGAATTTGCCCGGTCACCTGTGGCCGGGGAGCTCGGTTCGTGATGGTTCATGCTGAACTAGGAAACCTTGGTGGACATGCGTGTGTGTGTGTGTGTGTGTGTGTGTGTGTGTGTGTGTGTGTGTGTGTGTGTGTGTGTGTGTGTGTGTGTGTGTGTGAAGCGTCCTGGAGCACGGACGGAAATTCCACATTGCAGGGGGACTGGAGCCGATTTGCCTATCCAGTCCAATGAAGCTACGGCATTTCGGTGGATACCGGATCTGATCAATCCGGCGTACCTGCCTATTTCCTGACCCTCTTTCCTGATTCCTTTTGCGGTTTCTGTTTGTCGCTGTTGCTTCCTGTTCGGTGTCGATGTTGTGACCTGTTGATTTGCGTTTGCATTCAAGCATTTTTACTGACTGCGTTTTTCATCTCGGCTAGTGAAGCCTCTCGAGATAAGTGTGTTTACCCACGGCCTGTCCGACATGGCGCTGTGGGCTGGACTCGCCACATGCGGGAGCCCCCTGCGAGGGGAAGACCGTTCAAGTGTTCAAATTCAAGCTGCAGTTCAGTTCAGCGCGTTTGACCACGATCAAGGCTGCAGCTTGAGGTCTTAAGGTATTCCGCACCCAAATGGTGCTCTGCTGGTTTCATGCGCGTTGCACTGCCTGCACTGCCTGCCTTTGAAGCAAGGCTGCACCCACGAGGTTTCAGGTTCCTAAGCTTCATGCGCCAGTGACGAGTTGGTCATACACCAACTCTGCGATTCGTGGCGTTTATGGAAGCTTTCGTCTCGGATGAGTTCAGTTCAGATTCATCGGCATAGCCACATGAGGCACTTTCATGAGGCCACTTGACAGGCACCTCTGAGAACCCCTTTGTGCTCGCATGCATTTCTGTGGAAACTTTTGCCGTTGCCGCGGGGTTTTGGCGGTCCCCTGGTGGAATTCCCTCTGTTTGGTTTCGATTCGCAGGTTGAAGTTGGCTCGCATGCATTTGCACCATTGACGCATTTTTGCCGCAGTTGTGGTTTTGTTTTCACCCCTTTCCAACCTTCTCTCTCCCTTGCGAGATGGCTGGACACCAGCTCTATGACATGATGCATTCGCTCCTGCATAGCATTGCGACCGGCACCGCGTCCGGCTCACCAGGCAATTGTGGACCGAACTTGCAGCTGTCATCCCAGATGACGCAGCCCATGAACCTTGTACCGTCACCCAACTCGCAGACGGCATCCTTCACACCTTTCCCCATGATGCCCTACGGCGGCCTCTCGAACTTTGGCAACCCGATGGCCATGATGCCCTACGGTGGCCCTCCCAATTACGGCAACTTGGCACCTGGCACCATCATGCCTTTCATGACTCAGAGCAGCATGCCATCTTCACTGCCCGAGCCTCAGCCGGCGCGCGCGCCCGAAGCTGCCGCTGCGGCTCCTGCCGCTACCTCCTCAACCAACCACCCTCCCCCGGACACTCGGCACCATCCCCACTCTCGCAGATCCCGTTCCCGCCACAGACAGCACCGACACTCCCACTCCCACACCAGCCACCATCGCAGGCAGTCGCCGACACGACACGACCGACGAGCAGCTACACGTTCCCCGCCACCACTCCCGACGTGCACACCACTCCACTGTCTCCCTCCGCTCCCGCTCCCCCCGACACAGGTCCCACCATCGACACTCCCCTGCACCCAGAGCCACGACTTCGCACCGACCCACTCACACTACTCATGATTCCACCTCCTGGCGCACTTCCGGGAAGGATTCCAACAAGTCTCAATGGTCCTCCTCACACTGGCGGAACCAATCGTGGGGATACCCACCACAGAACAAAAACCGCTGGGACATGCACCACCATGGCGCCAGCCACACCGGCCACCGAAACAACCAGGACAAACGATCGTCCTGGTCACTGCAGCACCATGGGCAGCAACCCCACCCCACTTCCCGCACCGGCCACCACAACACTAGCTTGCCCCCTCACCCAGCACCTGCGGCGGCCTTCACTTCCACTCCCCCTCCCCCTCCCCGACCCACGCCGGCTACTCCTCACCCTCCCCAACCCCCCTTCGACAACACCGGTGATTTGGATCCCCCTCCATCGGAGGCGGACATCAATGCCACCACCACTTCCGACAACCGGTGGCTTGATCTATGGAGAAACGTCATGGACACGGCCAAGACTGACCCGCTGCGAGTTCCCACGCCTAGGGAGTTGGGGGAGCTGGACCCGCTTCCAGCCTTGGACATCTCCAGGGTGGAACAGACTAAGGCCATTTTGATGGACCTGGACCCTGCTTTGCCACCTTCACATGCCGATCTCCTCGCGGAATGCTGGGAACTGCGAACCATGGACACGGATGATCCCATACCGTTCGATCCCAGCTTCTACCACCTCTTGGGACGGGAATCACACGGCATGGTGTTCGCAACCACTTGGTTTCCCCGACCTCATCCTTGGCCAGTTGCTGGCGGAGACCCGGAAGCTGGATCCGGCACGGCCTCCCATCACGCTGTCATGTATGTGCACGGCACCACCCCGGATCGAGTGCGCCGCATGTGCCATGAGAACATGATCCGACCCGCTGCTTGGAGGCCCGAGAACCATGACTACCCGAGCTTTGGATGCTACGCTCAGGCCACCCCCACGGCATGCACGCCCGACACGCTCGGCCAGCTCTTGCAGAACTTTACAATCGGAAAGTCTCAACTCGGCGCCATCGCTTTTGGGGAACTACGCTCCATCAATCAGCACAAAATCCTCGAATCCGGGGGAAGCCACGAGGATCAACACAACGTGCGGCGCCACTTCGCATGCCGCCGAGGCAAAAAGTGGTGCCTTCACTCCAAGTTTGCGATGCTGAGAGGCATCGCGCTGCAGCGCCCGGCTTAGCGGGGCGCAAGTGTACCATCTTCCACCCAACCAGGAAAAGAATTGGTGCACTGTTTGATCGCCTTTTTTCTTTGCTTTGCTGTTCTGCCTTTCCGCGACCGTTCTCTCACCTTGTGACCTTACCCGCTTGATTCCGCTCACCAGCTTTTGGTTCGAACATTTCCTTTTCCCCCGTGTTTTCTCATGGCTTTCCAACCCCCTCGAGGTTTGGTTACGGCGCTCCAAAGGCAAAACTTACCACCGCAGCCTTCGCCCACGGCATCCCATCATCATGGCATCGTGTACGGCAACAACATGGCCGGGAACCCGTGCGGGGCCCTGTCCGGGCCTTCCTACGGATGCTCTTCCACGGCATCGGCACCGCCAGCTACACATCCGACTCCCTGTCAGACCTACGGCCAACCTATTCCCCGTTACCCACCACACCCCGGCCCTCGTCCACCCTCCTTTGGCGGCTCTCTCCCCCCCCCTCCCGGCGGCAACCCCTTTCCCCCCCCTCCCCCCGGCCCCTTCTCCCGCCCTCCCCCTTCCCCCTCCCCCTCCACCGCCTCGCAATCCAAACCTCCCCCGGCCCTTCGACCCATCCACTCAGTCCCAACACCAACCGAGTTCAACCCTGGCGACGATCACTACGACACCACCCGCGTCGCGGGGTACGACCTGCCCAAGGTCATAACGCACACCGCGTTTACTCGGCAAATGGGCATCGAGGGACAAGACATCGCTCGCGTCCCCCTCCTCCACTTCATGCACGAACAGTGGAACAGTTGGTGGTTGCGTCACCTCGCCCACGGAGGCGAAGTCCGCATCGTTGTCGCAAAGTCGATGCCGGAATCAGTGTTTGCTGCTGGACTACTCAGCCAAATCCGACAACGGCACCTCGACCTGGACGCCCTCGCCCTCCATGTAGCCACGCAGGAGGGCGCCTCGACCACCAACCAGCAGCCATGAAGCTACTCACCAGCAAGATCTTCGACTTCCTCATCTCCCTCCGACCCACCACTACGGCCGACCCGGCCTCCGCGGCCACCATACTCCAGCTTCAGCAACAGCTTGCTGACGCACACAACCAACTCGCCCAGCAGGCTTCATCCCCCCCCCTCCCCCCCACACCCACCTCATCCAACAAACGCCCAGCCAATCCATCTCAGGCCTCCCTCCTGGACTTCGGCATGAAGCGACCACGGTTGACTACACCTGACACATCACCGCAGGACGGATCCCCCGCTCTACCCCTGCCCACTCGCATTGCAGACGACTCCCAACCCCCCCCGGCTCCCCCCACCCACGGCGGCAACCCTCCAGCCCCCTCCACCCACGGCGGCACCCCGACCCCTCCCCCCCTCCCCTCCCCACCCACTTGGAAGGAGCCCCGCGACTTGCTCCAACCACCTCCCCACGTTTGCCAATGGCTCACCAGCAACTTCCCACCCGACATTTCCGACACCAAAGTCCAGCGATGGATCACCTCTCAGAAAACCAGCAAAGAGAGCAAGCAAGTCCTAAAAAGCTGGTCCAACGACTGCGCAAAATGGGCAACCACACTGGACTCCGACACCAGAGCCCAACTCGAACGAGCCGCTGTGCTATGGGGCATCCCGGTGCGAACCCTATCAAAACTGGGGTCATCGGCCTTGGGCCGCATCCTGGCCGCTGCGAGTCACTTCTACCAGTGACTCTCAACAGCACACCGACAACGACGCACAGCCAGGCAGCACAAATTTTGGCAACACCACTGCTGCCAACTTCTCACTGTCCTCCGTTTCACTCTTCGGTTCTTCCCAACCGATGACGTCACCGCACGTCATTCTTGCTCCTGGCTACTCGCACAGCTTCAGCTACTTGACGTCTGCCATCTCTCCTGTGGTTCCGGCAGACTGAAAGCCCTGCTTACTCGACTTGGCCTGGACAACCCTGCTTCCGATTTCTCTTCTCAGCTTGTCCCTTCAGCGGTTTATCTGAGATTCACCAGCCATCCAAAGTGGCAGGCCTTTTTCTACCTCGGAGCCACTCGCGCCTCCCTCATGGCACGGGGCCGCAGCCAACTTCGCAAACTACTCCAAGTTCAGCGACATCATCTGGTCAATGCCGAACTGGCAGTCCGGTGGTGGGCACATTTTGACTTTTTCCACCACTACACCTCGGTGCCCATTCACACTGTCGTTCCGGCAACGGACCTATTTGCCACTGAACAGTTCTACATCCAGGAACTGCAACCGTCTCTCAATTTTGGCTTCATCGAGAAACATTTCCGGCCACGCACGGGCTTCATACGCCAATTGGACTTCTCCCAATCCCGGCACATGGGCTTCGCCACCATCTGGCGAAAACGCCGCCGACTACGACTACCCATCGCCCTACAACAGGCCTTCCTGGCCAAACGCGTGGACAACCGCCTGGATTTGTGGCGATTTTTGGGCGATCTTGGCAGCAACACTCTACGACGATTTGATGCCATCCGTTACATACGGAGCAGAGACTTCCCACCCGCCGCTCTCTATGTCCTTCATCGCATAGCCACACACCTGCCTGAACCACACCACCAGGCATGCCTTTCCGCCATTCGATCCAGTTTACGATTCCGGGGCCTCATTCCACCTGGCCCCTCCAGACCGATGCTTGCACCCTTCCTCGCCTGGCGACTACTGCTAACCTGGTACCGACAACGACAACCACACTCCTCTACCACACACCTCACAGTGGACACACTTGACACCTCTGCCATCACCCGCGTCTACAACGGACGCCGTCGCCGACACAAACCCACACAACGCACCCTGTGGCTCGACGACATCCCCGAGATCATTCAGGCCACCCTTGACATGCAGATCTTCTCTGTCGGCCTTCGTTCATTCAGGCAAACACGTGGGGCACCGATGGGATCCCCCGCGTCCCCAGCTCTCTGTTTGATGGTGATCGCGGTCGCCGAACAATGTTGGACCAACACTCACATCACATCGGGACTTCGCTCCGTTGAAGATACTCTCCTACTCCGCTACGTGGACAACAGACTCGTGATCGCAACCCCCAGGTGGCTCTCGACTCCGGCAGCCAACATACTGTGCGACGAACACTTCTATGGAGGAGACATCTTCCTGGACACAGAAGCCGCCCTGGACTTCTTGGGGTTCCGACTGAACCTCACAAGCAGCACCATCTCCTTCATCCCCTCGCATGAGAAGCACAACATGCTCTCCGTCAAGTCAGCCGCACCACTGATGCATAAGGAATCTGGATGTTATTCCGGACGCACGCTGATCAACCGAGTTTCCTTTCCTGAGTTTCAGCGAGGTCAGGGTCTTGCAATGTTGAAGAGGTTGCACCTCCAACACGGTTTCACCTTACAAAGAGAAGAAAAACCGTCCTTTGCGGAACCACACTGGTTTTCTTCTCTGCCTTTGCATCCTGACAGATTTGACCTGATTTTCGCGCCGCAGCTGTTTGACTGTTTGACCAAAATCCGTTACGAGCATGGATACCAACACAGCACGCCAGCTGCTCCAAGACTTCGAACTCATCCTTGGCATTGCCCAACAAGGCATCGCCACCATCCGCGAGTTCCCTGAGAGTCCGCCTGCCGAACCTGATTTGGCACCGGAGGCCACGCTCAACCCCGCCATTGAGGACCTGACCAACTCACCACCAACACCCCTCCTGGCCCCCCTCGAGGACCTCTTTGAGCCACCTCCTGATGCTCCAGATGAACACCTTCCCACTGATCATGACGAACAATTCCCTGATCATTGGGCTCCGCCCACCCCTCCTCCGTCTTCTCCCGGCGAAAAACGAGCTCGCCGCGCACGTGATTTGGCCTCCTCAC